GTTGTGGCGGGTGCTTGTAGTCCCAGCTACTTGGGAGGCTGAGGCAAGAGAACTGCCTAAGAGGTTACTGTGAGCTGTGACACCACAGCACTCTACCGAGGGCTATAAAGTCTCTGTCTCTAAATAAATAAATAGAAATCAAAAACAATAACCAAATAGCCAGACCAAAAAAGGGACTGACTAAAAAGGCACAAATTAAAGAGATCAACTCTAGTGATTTCTGAGTGTTGCTTTTCTGTCAGACCTATATAATATTCAAAACCACCTTGATTCTTAAATAGTTGAATTATGTTCATTAACCTTGGATTAAGTTACAGAATAATACGCTTTTTAAAAGTTTTATAATAATTGCAGATTTATATGCAATTATAAGCAAAAATACAGAGAAATCTCATGTACGCTTTAACCAGTGTAACATAAAAAAAAAATACAGTCCTACAACACAACCGGACGTTGACATTGATAGAGAACATTTCCATCCCAAACTCTGCCCATTTCCCAGCCCCTTTCCCCTGTTCTTAACCTCTGGCAGCCACTAATCTGGTCTCCATTTCTCTGATTTTGTCACTTCAAGAATGTTATGTAGGGGTGGTGCCTGTAGCTCAAAGGAGTAGGGCACCTGCCCCATATGCTGGAGGTGGCGGATTCAAACCCAGCCCTGGCCAAAAACTGCAGGAAAAAAAAGAGATTGTTATGTAAATGGAAGTGTATGATATGTAACCCTTTGGGTTTTTTTTTTTTCACTCAGTATAATTCTCTGGAGATTGTCTAGATTGTGTGTATCAATATTTTGTTCCTTTTCATTGCTGAATAGTTTCCCATGGTATAGCTATAACACAGTTTAAAGTTCATCCACCCACTGAAGGACGCCTGGGTTGTTTTCATTTGGGGGCTATTACAAATAAAGCTGTGAACATAAATTTTCATTTCTCTGGGATAAATGCGCAAGAATGCAATTGCTTGGTCATATGGTAAGGGCACACTTCTGTTTTGAAAAATTGCCAAGCTGAGTGCAGTGGCTCATGCCTATAAACCTAGCATTCTGGGAGGCCGAAGCAGGTGGATTGCTTGAGCTCAGGAGTTTGAGACCAGACTGAGCAAGGGTGAGACCCCGTCTCTACTAAAAGAAAAACTAGCCAAGCAACATGGCAGGCACCTGTAGTCCCAGCTGCTCGGGAGATTGAGACAAGGCAATCCCTTGAGCCCAAAAGTTTGAGGTTGCTATGAGCTATGACATCAGAGGGGCAACAAAGTGAGACTCTTCTCTATAAATAAAAAGTTGTCGAACTATTTCCAGAGAGCCTACCATTTTACATTCCCATCAGCAGCGTATGAGTGATCCATCTCCACATCCTTGCCTTCATTTGCTGTGGTCACTTCAATTTAGCATCCTAAATGTTTCATTGTTTTAATTTGCATTTCTCTAATAGCTAATGATGTTGAACATCTTCTCCAGTGCTTATTTGCCATCTTATATCTTATCCAGTGAAATCTGAATTCTTTTGCCCATTTTCTAAATGTTTTTTTCCCTAAGTTTTGAAGGTTTATTTATTTTGCTTTGTTTTGTTTTTGGGACAGGGTCTTCTTGCTCTGTCCCCCAGGCTGGAGTACAGTGGCCTCATCACAGCTTACTGCAACTTTGAACTCCTGTGCTCAAGCAAAGCAACCTCTTGCCTTAGCCTCCTGAGTGGCTGGGACTACAGACACTCACCACCCCTCCTGGCTAATTTTTTCTATATTTTGTAGTGATGGGGTCTTATTCTTGCTCAGGCTGGTCTTGAACTCCTGGCCTCAAGCAGTCCTCCCATGTTGACCTCCCAAAATGATAGGATTACAGGCGTGAGCCACCATGCCTGGCAGCCACCAGATGATTAATAAACTACATATTTAAACAAAAGTTAACAGTAGGTGGGGTTTATGCAACAATTTACTGCAGTTCTCAACATTACTAAAAATTATGTCTATAGACCTATAATACATGACTTTGAGGACAAGTGGTTCTTTAACTAGAAGGCTAAACTATAAACTAAATTTTAAGAAGTTAGCTTGATGAGTACAGAATTGGATTCAGGAGAAACAGGGGATGACCTTATGGCCAGCTGTCAGGGGCTAAGAGAACATAGTAGAAGCCCACTTCTTAATGGAGAGATATTTGCCAGTCACACTAATACTGCCTGTTTCAGGATCTGGGCGATCCCTACCTCACCACTTACTAGAGATAACACATTTTCCCTTCTCCCTGGACTCTGTCACCCTTCTATTCAGTGTCAGTCTTCATAGGAAGACTTAGAATTGGCTTTGGGCATTTCCAGGTTTACAGTCACACACTTCTCTTTCACACACAAGTTCTGAAGTTTCTGGAACAGACAGTAGTGGTTGCTTTGTAATAGTCAAATCATTTTGTACTCCAGCCCTGTTCCCTACCAAGAAGAGATAGCCATGGGTAGAGGCCTTGCACTACCTTGTTTAGTTAGTGCCTGTTACCCACTGCAAACGTTAACCACCCCTTAAGGCATTGCCTGACCATCCAACCTAAAAAATCAATCACCTTGTTTAGTCTTCTTTATACCTGCATTTGAATTTTGTCCATCCATTTTTTTCTCTTTATCACACATAAATATAAGATTTATGGGGGCAGTGAATCGCTACATCCAGGGCGCCTGAAAAACTGCGCCTGGCCCCGACTGCCGTTCAGAAAGAATTTGCTGAACTATGGCTGCTGCCCGCGTATTTTGGGGAGGGTCGCTCTAGCAGCAGTCGTTTGAGCTACCCTAGATGAATGCCAATCCCAAACAGCCTCTACAAAGAAGTATGGGCATTTGCTCTCGCTCTTCGGTCGCGAAAGTCGAGTCCACAGACCGGAAGCAGCGGGGAGGTGTTTCCGGAAGTGGAGACTGCGGGAGGCGGAAGCGACTCTGGGAGTTGGCATGGCTGTGGGGGAGGTGGCTGCGGCTGGGCTGCTGTGGACCTTGGCGCCGGTGATGCCTACCACCCCACACATGTCCCATCTAGCAACCCCTACCTTGGCCCACCCTTCTCCCAGAGTGAATCTCCCGCCGCAGGCTAATCGATGGGGCGACTCGCGCTCGCCTCCAGCAATTTGGTCTGTGTTTGAGGGTTGCCCGGGCAACAGCCACTTCCGGGGGCGTGGTCTGTGAACCCGCTTCGCCGGTGCGTCCAGGATCAGCCTCCGGCGCAGACTGTGTGGGCTGCTGCCGCGGCGGCAGCTTCTTACGGGAGTGGGCTGCTGGGTCTCCACCTCCCCCAGGCTCCCCACCCTCGGGTTCTGATCTTGCGCTGGCGGCCCCTCTGACTTTGTTTGGTCGTTGCTTCGGCAACAGCCGTTTCCAGGAGGTAGTGCTGTTTTCCCTTCAGCACCGCTGGCGCGGGAGCCCCGGCGTTCCGCCGTCTAAGCGACAGTTAGTGGGCTGCCGCCGTTCGCCCCTCCAGCTGACCTCGGCCGGCTGGGCCCGTGGGCCGCGCATCCGGAGTCTTCTCGCCGCTCCAGCCACTCAGCCGGGCAGTCATGGTTCTGCTGCACGTGAAGCGGGGCGACGAGAGCCAGTTCCTACTGCAGGCCCTGGGGAGCACCGAGCTGGAGGAGCTCACGGTGCAGGTGGCCCGGGTTTACAATGGGCGGCTCAAGGTGCAGCGCCTCTGCTCAGGTGCGGCCCAACGGACGGGGCAGGTCTGGGCGGGCCCGGAAGAGATGAAGAAAACGGGGCATTCTCGGATGGAGAAAGATGGGCAGGCTAGGGCGAGGAGTCAGGTTTGTTGAAGGTTGGAAAAGATTTGCAGCGGTCGGGTTGAAGTAGGACTTTGGAGTTAAATGGGGATGCATAAAAAACCAGAGAAAGTAGGGTCTGTCTGGCATCCCCGGCTCCGGGGTGGACAGCGGGCGGCGCCACGTGGTGGTGGGGGGCAGCTGTGAAGGAGGGAGCCAAGAGACCGGGCTGGAGAGCAGGTGTAGTGAACCAGCCCGAGCGATGGGGTGAGAACTGGGTGAGGTTTTGAAAGGAAAATTTCCTACTTTTGAGACTTCCCAGGTGAAGCAGTTTCCGGTGGCAAGCCACCGGCTTTGGGATTGCCCTTCAGAGGTGAGAAAACGGTGAGAAAGCCCTGGCGTTCTTTCCCCCACTTTTGGAGAGTGTTTCAGAGCTGAACAGATTCTGTTTCTCCGGTCACAGGGCTGTGGCCACACTTCTCCGCATCCTGCCCAGAGCATCGCTGTCTAGTAGAACTTCCCCGCGGGGAAATGTTCCTTCGTGCCATCCGACTGTATCCACAAGCCGCGTGTGGCCTTTGAGCATTTGAAATGTGGCTAGTACGACCAAGCAATGAAATTTTTAATTATTTAATTTGAATTTATTTAATTAATGCTACTAGTACCTTCTGAATTAGCCCAGCTGTCAAGCTTGCCGTGATGAGTACCATTATATTATTATAAACACGTCATTGTTTATATAAATACATATAAAATACATAAATATATGTAATAATATGTCACTTTGTGTGATTTATTAAATTACATAAGTTAAATACGTGGATTTTGCACTATGGAGAACTTAAAGGTCATGGCCTCTTGATGGACACACACACACACACACAGAGGCTGCCTACAGTTTGTGTACAATTTAGAATAGTTGTCTGTTTTAAATTGCACACGAACTGTATGGCCATCCTGTATATAGTTTAATTGTGCTTGCAAAATAAACTCAATAGTAAATGTTTTTTTAAGCTATGTCCAGTGGGTGCACCTGTGGTCCCAGCTACTTGGTAGGCTGAGGCCAGAGAATCAGGTGAGCCCAAGAGTTGGAGACCTGCCTGGGCAAAAAAAAAAAAAAAATGTTGTTTAAAACTTAAAGCACTTGAGGAGAAAAGAAACTCAACTTCTTTTTCTATAACATTATAAACCAGAAATGTGTTACTGAACATTAAGAGTCATATTAGTGAACTTAGAATCTATTGAACTATTCTACAGTCTCTAGTGTCAGCTGTGACTGAGGCACCCGTACTTGGCCTGAAGAAGATGAGGATGAGTAAGATCAGCCTCCTGCCCCCCAGTTGCTTAGATGGTGGTGGCGAGAAAGTAACATCCTGCTCAGTTACACCAATTTGTTTATTAGTTTTGTATGTGGGCTTCACACAGCATTCTGGGAACACCTAGCTCCTTTTGCCTCCTTCACGGGAAGGAAGATAAGGAAAGTGGAAGGGATCCAGGTCAAAATGTGGATTGGTTTGGGGGTAAACATATATGGATTAGGAAAAATATATAGCCATGCATTTAAATAGTGGATACATATGATACTGGAAAATCAAAGTCCTTGTCCTATCTCCTATTTTCATGGGATGTGAGCTGCCTCAAATTCTCCTCACTGATTTATATAATTTATAAAGTTTTTCCTATCAAGTATTAGCTATGTCAACTGAGCCAGCCTCAGATGACATAGTTGTAAATGAAGGAAGATGGGGTATTGGTAACTATCCTTGCCTACATATGAGGTTAAATTAAATGAGATCATCTAACTGAACACTTGGAAAATATAAAACCCTATGTGAATGTGTGTTCAGGCTTTCAGTGAGTGTTAATCTTGTACCTCCTGAGGTCCGGGAAGCACGAGTAGCATAGAGGATTAGAGCACAGAATTTATACCCAGCCTCTCTGGGACAGGGGCAAATTCCTAAGCTCTCTATGCTTCTGTTGACTGAGGTTGAGTCAGTGATTCTTTGTCAAGGGTCCTGGACAGGTCTGGCAAATAGCAAGAGGTGGTGTGTGTTTGTTCAATAAAATAGGGAACCAGATGGGCGGGACCCTGCCCTGAGAGCTTCCATTCCAGTGGGATATAAGGTGTTGTGGTGATTATGATACCTTTGTCCGTCTCTTGTTTTTAAGAAATGGAAGAATTAGCAGAACATGGAATATTTCTCCCTCCTAATATGCAAGGACTGACTGATGACCAGATTGAAGAATTGAAGTTGAAGGATGAATGGGGTGAAAAATGTGTACCCAGCGGGGGTTCAGTATTTAAAAAGGATGATATTGGACGAAGGAATGGGCAAGGTGAGTGAGCATTTCTCTCACTTGTGTATACACACATGCTTGAATATACCAATAAGTAGGAAAGCAGTTCTTTAAATTAAAAAATTGACCTCAGTATTTCTATACAAAATTACAAAATACTGTGCTATGTAACTATTGTGGTAAAACTCAAATCCATGATAAATTAGAGGCATAAAGGAAGTGTTTGTCTTCTTACTGAGTTACAGCTCACTTTTAAGTATATTAGATGAACTAGATGAAATTACCCTTATGTAAGTCAAAATGGTTGAGAATTGACAATTTCTTTTTTTTGTTTGTTTTTGTTTTTGTTTTTGTTTTTTTTCGAGACCGAGCCTCAAGCTATCCCCGTCGGCAGAGTGCCATGGCATCACGCTCACAGCAACCTCCAACTCCTGGGTTCAAGCGAGTTTCCTGCCTCAGCCTCCCAAGTAGCTGGGACCACAGGCGCCCGCCACAACACCCAGCTATTTTTTGGTTGCAGCCGTCATTGTTGTTTGGCGGGTCTGGGCTGGGGATTCGAACCCGCCACCTTAGGTGTACGTGGCTGGCGCCTTAGCCAGTTGAGCCACAGGCGCCGAGCTGAGAATTGACAATTTCAAATGGTTTAACCTAATCACTTTTGGTGGATACCATTGAAAATATGTTGGAGGTTGTGTTTTGCTGTTGTTTGCAGATGTTGGGGTTTCTTTAGAGACTTTGTAGAAAAGGGTTGGGAATGTCAGCCCTGGGTCTCCCCTGGGCCAAGGACATACCTCTCTCTGGGGCAGTGCTTCAGCAGCACTCTGCCAGAACACTGAAGAAATTCTTCCCTGTTCAGCATGTGGTTGCTCATATGGAATCGGCAGGAAGAAAGGATAATCTTTTTTGATAGTGTATCCTTTTTAACCTGTATTAAAAGCTCCATTTCAAAAACTACGATATATGTTTTGGTCCCTAAAACACCGTTAGGAGCAGAAGAAATAAAAACAGTATCTCTGGAAGGCCTTTGCAAGCTCAAAAATATATCTTTTAAAATATCAGAGATAATAGGAATTCCTAATATTATTTCCTTCAACTTGTAGCTTGGGAAAGTAGTTGTCTCCCATGCCTTCCACACCTAAATTCAATCTCAACCTGGAGAAGTCTTTGCTTTTCAGAAGGAATTACAATATATCAATGGAAAAAAAAACAGGGCTCGGCGCCTGTGGCTCAAGCGGCTAAGGCGCCAGCCACATACACCTGAGCTGGTGGGTTCCAATCCAGCCTGGGCCCACCAAACAACAATGACGTCTACAACCAAAAAATAGCTGGGCATTGTGGCAAGCACCTGTAGTCCCAGCTACTTGGGAGGCAGAGGCAGGAGAATTGCTTGAGGCCAGGAGTTAGAGATTACTGTGAGCTGTGCACTCTACCCAGGGTGACAGCTTGAGGCTCTGTCTCAAAAAAAAAAGAAAAAGAAAAAACAGTATCTCATCAACCAGGTAGCAGTTCATTATTCATCTCTAAACCAGTATGTTCTTAAATTAACCCTTTCTATTCTAATATAATTTTGTACTTAGAGTATTTTCAGTGTCTAATATTATTTATTAAGAGTAAAACAAAAGGGATTGAGATATGTAAGAAACATTTTAAAGAAGCTGTATGTTTGATGGCTGTCTCTCTCCTTCTCTCCTTTTTATTTTCATAGCTCCAAATGAAAAAATGCAGCAAGTTTTAAAGAAGACTATAGAAGAAGCCAAAGCAATAATATCTAAGGTTAGCTTTTCTAAATGATACTCTAAAACCTGGCTTTTGAGATATAAACTCCATTTAAGACTTTCTCATAGTCTTTTTGCTCCCTTTTCTCCCCCCACCGCTTTTTTCTTTTCCATTATTTTCTTTTCACTTCCCAGAGGCAGAGGAAAGAAGCATGTTTGGAGTGAGCCCCAGCTTTTCATTTTCCTAATTGTGACCAGAATCCTCCATTTCTTATAAGCAGACACAAATTTTTGTTGGCCATGTAAATATAGGTTCATGTATAGTATAGATATAAACTTATGCATACTGATTTTCTTTTACCTTTTTGAAGAACTCAAGAAAGCTAAGTCAGGGAGATTTGAATACCACGGCCACAGAATAGCTTTACATACTTTATTGACGTAATATATGTTCAATGTAAATAAGTTTTTTAAGTATATATACAAAAAGCATTTCATAAAGGGAGAAGCATATAGTTATACCATTGCTATCCAGATATCACATATCTGCAGGAAAAGAATTTAAAGATCTTCAAAGAAAATGGTATTTGTATCTATTGGTTTTATTTGTGTGTTTGGTGACATTACCACCCTCATTTGAAAATCTTCAGGGTTGACAGCTGCTTTGTCTTCTGCTCCTCCTGGCTTGCTTAGCAAAACTGTTATTGCCAAAACAATATTTTCTAAACTTTTCAAGCTCTTCACTAATCTTTTAAGAGCCTCAGGAAAGTCTGTCCCTCTGTGCCTGTTACTATAGTAAAGTTTCTGTGAAGCCCTACAGGAAAGCCTTGGTTTCATTCAGTGTCTGCAAAACACATTGACCACAGAGAATTTTTCAAAACGTACAAATAACAATTACTAGCACCTAGTCACATCAGCACATCTGAGAACATGGTAAGAACAGAGGTCTGGACATTGTTCCGCACCCTTTGTGCGCACATATTCTGCGTGGAAATCCCCACTTGTTCATCACATCTTCCCTTGGCCTGTGTACTTCTCAGAGTGCTTTATCCTTGGCCCTCTTTCTTCCTTGGCATTTTTTCTATGCTGCAAATGCAGATTCTGCCCCCCTGCAGATAACTCTCAAAGCTCTGTCCTGTCCTCATGACATCTGCCTTAACTTGTTACCTGAATTTCCAGCTGGTTCCAAGATGGTTCTACCTGAACATCCAGCCCGTACTTCAAAGCCATGGTCTCTAGACGTGAATTCATTGTGTTCTCACTCCTCCGCCTTTGTGTTTGACATCCAAGAATAAGCCTGTCCTGCCTTTCTTTTTCCAGTACCGGAGCCCCCAGGGTCTTGGTTCTATAGGCTGAATCCTCAGCGCCAGCTTCAACACTTCCCACTCCATCACCCATGTGACTTCAGTTCAATCCCATACTGTCTCCTCCTTGGATGCCTCTTAAATCCACCTCCTTTCATTTCTACTTTATTTAAGCTACCACTTTATTTAAAACCCTCCTATGTCCTTCTGCATTCCAGTACCGACTGTGTCATCCTACAGTTCAATTCCATTCTGACACTACCACTACCCAGAGTTAGCCCAGACCTCACAGATAAAGGGCAGAGTCCTTCAATTCTGACACTAACTACCTGGAGTTAGCATCAGATCCCACCAGTTAAAGGGCAAGGTGACCAACAGAACTCTTCTTACTTCAGATATGGAGCCACAGGTGGGGTCCCCAGGCAGCCCACACTTCTGTCTGACTGGCCACAAGATGGAGCTTCCCACAACACCTCCCCTTCAGGTTCAGTCATTCACTAGTGACTCAGAACTCACTAAAGGCAAATACTTGTGATTATGGTTTTATTCTAAAGGCTACATCAAGAACAGCCAGGTGGAAAAGGGGTTTGGGGTGCAGAGCTCCATGCCCTCACCTCATGGAATCCAGTTGCATCACCAGCTCGTCAGTGTGTTCACTATCCAGAAAGCTCCACTAGCCTTTGTGTCCAGAACTTGTGTCAAGATTTTGTTAAGTAGGTGTGATTGTTTATATCACTGGCCATGCTACTGAACTCTGTCTCTAGCCCCTTCCCCTCCCCACCCCGAGTCTGGTACTTCCAACCTGCTAATCACGTGCCTGTCTTCCTGGCCACTTCCTTATGCCAGCCCTTCCTTGGGGGTTACCATGTTAGCACAAACTCAGGTATGGTAAAAAGGGTCTCTTTATAAACAACAAAGACACTCCTATCACTCAGAAATCCCACAGATTTTTGAAGCTCTGTGCCAGGAATCAAGCACAAAGACCAGATGTATTCTTTATGCTATCATACCTTGCTGTGTAGTCTTCAGAGCCTGTTCCCTAGTGTCCCTCCAACTAGGTCTGTTCCACTCCCACTCCAAGGTTGATCTACCGACTTTCCCTCGCCTTGCCAGAAAAAGTGATTGCTGCCCACAGCTGACAGACTAAATTCGAGCTCCTCAGCCTGGCTTTCATGGCCATTCAAAAACAAACTCCAGGCCAGGCACGGTGGCTCACACCTGTAATCCTAGCAGTTTGGAAGGCCGAGCAAAAGCGAGACCTCATCTCTACTAAAAATAAAAAAACTAAGGCAAGAGGATCACTTCCGCTTGAGTTGGAGGTTGCTGGCAGCTATGATGCCACAACACTGTACCCAGGGCAACAGCTTGAGACTCTGTCTCAAAAAAGCAAAACCAAACTCCAGCCTCCCCACCAGCCCAGCCTTCTCTTTCCTGCCCGTCACCAAGTGGGCTGTTACTGTCTGCTTTGTAATACAGACCATGGGGTACTTTGCTCAGCCCCTAAAATAAGTGGCAGTCACTTTGGGAGCAAGAACTATTTGATTCCTTTTTGTTGCTCTGGCAGTATCTGGTAAGGGTCTGGCATAAAAACTTGATTGGTAAATATTGAAGTGATCCGCCACACTGTAGATAATGATAATGACGCCCATCTACTTTCAGAAACAAGTGGAAGCCAGTGTGTGTGTTACTATGGAAATGGTGAAAGACGCCTTGGACCAGCTTCGAGGTGCAGTGATGATTGTTTATCCCATGGGGTTACCACCGTATGATCCCATCCGGATGGAATTTGAAAATAAAGAAGATTTGTCAGGAACTCAGGTATGTGGTTCTTGGGCACTCTGAAAGTTGACTTCCTGTGCCCCAAAGCCCTTTGGATTTAACTCTTCTCTGATGAATATAACGTTTGCTTTCTGCACAGCTTTCTGTCTGTGTCATGCTGTACTTCTGAGCAGAGTTCTGAATTCAGGAGAGGTGTGCTCCTCTGAGTATGCTCCTGGTTAAGGGTTGGACCCCGCACAGAGAGGCAGCAGAGGCAGATGGGGGAATTGGCCATCAGGAGTAACATTTCCACTTTCCTTGGCTGCTGGGAAGCCAGAAACCTAATTTGTTCCTATTTCTACCCAAATGTATTAGCCCCTTTGCTTAGGAATTTGTATTCTAGTCTTACCCCTTGCTTCGTGTTATTTTCTTACCTTTATTTCCATTTTTCTTTGTTTTCCTCACTCATTCCTTATCCTGTTGGACAGTAATTCTCTAAGCCATCTTAAATAGGTCGAATTAGCAAAAGCAAACAATAGACCCATCGTAATTCTATTAAAAAGTCCAGCAAGGGCTAGGCATGATGGCTCATGCCTGTAATCCCAGTACTTTGAGAGGCCAAGGCAGGAGGATCACTTGAGGCCAGTAGTTTAAGATCAGCCCATACAACATAGCAAAACCCCATCTATACAAAAAATAAATTAGATGGTCTTGTGGCGGGTGTCTATAGTCCTAGCTACTTGATAGGCCAAGGCAGGAGAACCTCTTGATTCCAGGAAATTGAGCCTGCAGTGAGCTATGGTGATGCCACTGTGCTGCTGGGCAACAGAGTAAGACCTTGTCTCAAAAAAAAAAAAACAAACAAAAACCAACTCAGCAGTATCCCAGTGTCTTCCCTGGCAGTAACCTACAAATCTATCCAAGAAGGATTTTATATTGTGGATGAGGGTGCAAATAAGATAAGCTTCCCACATTTCCCAGAGCAAGAAGTTAACTGAGTCATGGTACCACTGAAACCTAATAGGGAGTGTACTAAAATTGAGGATTTTGAGGTAGAGGAGTCAGGGCCTCCCATGGGGGCGTGGTATGGGGAGATAGCAGGAGTCAGAAGCCCTGGGTGCAACCATACACGTGTGGGAAGCCTGCTAGGCTCCTTAACACCAGTCCTTACACTTGGTCCCAGGCAGGACTGAATGTCATTAAGGAGTCAGAAGCACAACTGTGGTGGGCAGCCAAGGAGTTGAGAAGAACAAAGAAGCTTTCTGACTATGTGGGGAAAAATGAAAAAACCAAAATTATCGTCAAGATTCAGCAAGTAAGTACTTAGACTGTAACAGGTCAGTATTTTTTGTTGTTTGCCTTCCAACTGGTAAAAATTTATAGTGAATCTGAAAGGTTTAAGCTACTTGTGCAAATATTTTAATCCAGTTGGCTTGTGCTTAAACTAAAAACATCCTTTCTTCACACCAATCCAAACTGGAAGAAAACATGGATTGACTGGTAATATCTGCAGTTTGTTTCCATTTGTGAGGGAGAAGGAATATGCCATGTTAATTTCAACCTTAAAAAGAGGGCCACAAGTAAACAGAGTGTTTCTTGGAATGAAAAATACAGCCCAGAACACTGGTTTCGAGTTTTTTCAAACAGCTGGTGCTCTGTAAATGAGGAGGAAGGGCCAGAGGCCTCTGAAGGGCATCAGGTAGAGCTCTCTACCCGCTTGGCTGCCTTGGTGTTACATGTGCTTCAGAATCATTGCACTGCAACTGGGGGGAAACGAGGCCACCATCGTTATCAATATTCAGAGCCCTTGGCTCTGCGGTGCTTCCCTTCCCCACTGGAGCTGCTGTGGCTGCTTTGGCAATGGCCATGACAGAGACAGCATCTGGTCTCTGCCCACCGTGAGAGTTCAGAGTCAGGGCTGCTGAAGACCAAGACCTCCCTTGATGACTCACTCTGGATGACCAGATGGGGATGATTCATTCATCTTTAGCACAGGCAGTTGTAACACATTCACTGTATCTTCTGGGATTGTCACTACAGGAACACCGTAATCCACGATTTGCTCTTGCCTTTATCTTTTCAGAAAGGACAGGGAGCTCCAGCCCGCGAACCTGTTATTAGCAGTGAGGAACAGAAGCAGCTGATGCTGTATTATCACAGAAGACAAGAGGAGCTCAAGGTATAGCAGACAGGTCTTCACAGAGCTGGCACCCTAGGCATACCCCACATGTCTTACCGGGGCGGGGGGGGCGGACAGTAAGTTCTGCAGGGTGTTGGGGTACTCAGTTCTGGAACTTCCATGTGTCCAGGGCTGTTGGGCCCTGCCAGGTATCCCCCAGCATTAGATACTAGACATGTCCTGCTCGGGGGTGACACAGCAGGGAGAGCAGCCATGGGTTCTTTCTTTAATCTCTTTATGTGTGAAACGTTCTCCTGAAATGCATTCCTGAGTAAAATGTATTTATTTCCAGAGACTGGAAGAAAATGATGATGACACCTGTTTAAATTCTCCATGGGCAGATAACACTGCTTTGAAAAGACATTTTCAGGGGGTAAAAGACATAAAGTGGAGACCAAGATGAAGTTCACCAGTTGACGAAGCTTTCAAAAATATTACCTCGCCTTGCTTCTAGGCAAAGTAATTACAATAATAAAAAGGACGCCCACTATAAAAAGGCCACTCACTATAAAATATGCTGAAATTTCTAGTTTTCTTATACTTTGAATTTTCAAAATAGTTATTCAAGGTTTTAGAACTTAATAAATACATCCTCAGAAGAATAATGTGTAACTTACTTTTGTTTCAGGGCAGATATTTAACATCTCAGGGCTTTCTTTGATAAAATACCAAAACTGAAATTACAAACTTTTTTTTCTACCTGATTCCTTTGCTCTATATTGTCATGATAATTCATAGTGGAGGAAATCTGAAAGGACCTTTTCCTTCTTAGCAAGTCAGGCACCTGATAGGAAACTTGACCACTAGGTGCCACTAGGTGCCGCTAGCCACCTGGCAAGCCCTTCTCTTGTGCTGTTTGTAGATTTTCTGGAAGCTGAACTCTGAAGCTTGTTTAGAGACTCCTATGAAACCACTGAACAGTCTGCTGAAGCTGGGTGTTGCCCTGTGGAAAGTTCACCTCCTGGCTGCTGCCTCTCTGGCCTTGTCTTCCAGGAGTAAAGGCTTCACCTGTGCTAGGCATTGAGCAGCCAAACTAACCTTGACACTTAAATTCTTCTGTGGTTTCTCAGCTTCTCACATCTCCTTCATTAGAATAGGTCCTGAAAATGAATTCAGAGCCTGGTAAAAATGTGTGGCTTCTCCTGTGGATGGCAGGGTTTGACTTCAGGCTCAGCTTCTAACTCTCAGGTTCACTGGACCCATCTTGCTGACTGGGTTGTGTTAGGGAGCCTTTGACTTTAAATGTCTCCACTCCACATCCTCATAAACCGTTCAGGTCGCCTACAAACCCTACATCTTAGCATCTGGAAAACACTCCTGGGCCTAGAAATTTCCTCATGCTTGCCTAGGATCATATTCCCATACAGCAGTGGTTCTCAACCTTCCTAATGCCTGCTAATGCCACAACCCTTTAATACAGTTCCTCATGTTGTGGTGACCTCTGACCATAAAATTATTTTCATTGCTACTTCATAACTAACTAATTTTGCTACTGTTATGAATTGTAAATCTCTGACATGCAGGATATATTTTCATTGTTACAAAGGAGTCACAACCCACAAGTTGAGAACCGCTGCCATAGAGGAAAGTCAGTGCACATGCCCAGAGGGAAAGTGTGGGACACGAGACATTTCCCCCACCCTGGCCTTCCTGCCTGGGTGCCTGAGCTCCCCACCATCCTGGAGAGAGGAGTTGTGTGGGTGAGGGCAGGTAGAGGGGGTCAGTGCTCACCTGCTGGCAGGCAGCCTTATCTCAGGGCCAGAACCCCAGACCTGATCGCAGAGCCGTGTTTCCTAAAGTGAGCTGTGGCCGACTGGATCTTGGTATGCGTACTCTTTCAGTCAAGTTGTCAAATTTTGTAAAGCCAAATTTGTATCATTTTCATTTTTACTTTGATTATCATTTTAAAACTCCATGAATAGTTTCTGGCTTTGGATAAAGTAAAATTTGCATTAAGATCCTACAATTTTATTTAACTAGCATTCTTTGTCAATGTTTATGTGCATTAAATTTACAAGAAAAAGTTAATGTAGCCATGTGATCACAATAGATCTTTTCAAGCACCCCTCCTTCCATGTCATTTGGAATCCTTATCAGCCCAGTGGGATATGGAAGTTCTCTGGGGCCATTATACTTGAAGGGATCACCAGACTGCTCACACACAGTATGCTCCTTTACTGAATACTCCTGTAAGAAAAACAAGCCTCTCTCCCTGCCCTTCTCTGCCTCAGAGCCCCTGAGCTCGGTTTGTTGAGACACAGCAGCTCCTTGGGATGTAAGCAGGTGAGCAGCCCCTGGACAAGCCATCCATGCCATCATGTACCTAGTGACAGGCCCAAGGGATCACCCAGGACTTCTCAAGAAACCAGTTTATCAGCAAAAATCATCTTGCCAATGTTAGGCTATTGATCAACTTAAGATGTGGTCTGGTGCTACTTTTTTTTTTTAATCCAGTACTTTTCTGGATCAGTATCAAAGGCAGCAAAGTGCCTTTTGTGTGCATGGTGCCCATCTGGGTCTGTGGTTTTGTCCGTTGACATAATTTGTCTTCTTATATGATTATTTCATGGAGACCAGGAATGCTGGTAATAAAATTTGGCACCACCTAAACCCTTTTGACCAGCAAACTGACAACAACAGGCACTGTTTCTGTCACAAAATTACCTCGTTCCTTGGCAGCTGCTCTGTGAAGAATGTACCATGAAGCTTGAAATGACCAGCCACATGCTCAGAACACAGCAGCCTCGAGGGGTCTGGACTCAGCCAAATGCCCAGAGCCTTAGCAACCCCCATGGAGGGGTAACAAGGGGACCTGACCCTCACACCCCACCACACACACTCTGTCACAAGATCCTAGGTGTCACCATTCCACGTTGAACATCCTGCTGGTCTCAGAGAAAGTTCAAAAAGAGCTGTGGTTGATTTCCAGGCCTAGTCCAACACTGGGGGTGATAGTCACGGCAGCTGGCGTTTCTTTTTCTTTTCTTTTTTTTTTTTCCTGCAGTTTTTGGCCGGGGCTGGGTTTGAACCAGCCACCTCCGGCATATGGGGCTGGCACCCTACTCCTTTGAGCCACAGGTGCCGCCCTACCTGTAGTTTTTTCATTTATACCTTCAAAAATATCTCATGACAGCCAAATTAGGGGAAAAACTGCTGTTGTGATTTCATGAATTAAAAAAACCAAAGCCCAAGAAGGTTAAGTTGCTCAAGGTGAAGAATCTTAAAATCACCTGCATGCCCCACAGTCTGCCGTTGATATAAGTTCCTGATTATGCCTAATGTCATTATAAATCTCTGCCAGTGAAGAGTGACAAGTGGACATCTGTGGAGTATACAGCTGTGTTGGGCCCAAAAGAAGAGTGGCCTATTTGTTTTTTGGTTTTTTTTTTGAGACAGAGCCTCAAGCTGTCCCCCTAGGTAGAGTGCTGTGGCATCACAGCTCACAGCAACCTCCAACTCCTGGGCTCAAGCGGGTTTCCTGCCTCCGCCTCCCAAGTAGCTGGGATCACAGGCACCCGCCACAACGCCTGGCTATTTTTTGGTTGCAGCCGTCATTGTTGTTTGGTGGGGCCCTGGCTGGATTCGAACCCTCCAGCTCAGGTGTATGTGGCTGGTGCCTTAGCCGCTTGAGCCAGAGGTGCTGAGCCAAGAGTGGCCTACTTGGAGAGAGAAGATGACAGCCTTTGATGAGTTTCATGTGTGGGCCAACAGTGACGGAATTGTGTTTCCCAGGACTCAGCTTTGGTTCATGTTCTAGTCTGCCCAGGCTGTCGTACATCACCGTGGCTTACAAATAACATGAGTTTCTTTCTCACGGTTCCAGAGGTGCAAGATCAAAGTACCAGCAGGCTAGATTCCATGTCTGGTGAGGGCTGGCCTTCTCATTCATAGACACCTGGTCTTTTCCCTGTAACTTTACATGGCAGAAGGGGCAAGAGATGTTTCCTGTCCCTTTTATAAAGACACTAACGCCATTCATGAGGGCTTTAACCCCATGGCCTAATCACTTCCCAGTGGCCAAACTCCCAATGCTATCACCTTGGGCTTAGGTTTCAAGATAAAAATTTTGGGGAAAAAAAAATGAATTTCAGGGGCACAGATATTCAGTCCATAGTATACCAACCGCTGTAAGTGGATAGGGAGAAGATATGTGAGCCCATCCTTGAGATAATTTAAGTAAAAACAGATGCTTGTTTCAATCTGAAAACTACCGCTCCAAATGAGAAAAGAATGAGGCTGGGGTTGCATGCCAGCTGGCGAAGAAACCCCCACCTGCTTGCAGACCCAGTGCAGGATTCCAGGTCATTCCACCATGGTTCAGAGTTAGGGTATAAACAGATTCCCATGGGCTAAGCCCTGGTTTGTCATTACTTTGAATGGATTGAATTCCATATACAGTTAGTGTCAGACTTACCATGGTTTGACTTAAGATTTTTTGGTTTTATGATGGGGCAAAAATGCTACACATGGAATAGACGCCATTATTCACATTTTGAAATTTGAATTGCCTTCTTTTTCTAGGGTAACAGTATAGAGTGGATACTGTCTCCTGCCTAACTCCAGTCAGCCCTTTGATCACAAGGTAGGGAACCCATACCCTATAGTGAACTGTGTTGCCAGATGATTCTGCCCAACTGTAGGCTAATGTGAGTGTTCTCAGCACTCTTTAGTGGACTAAGCCAAGCTATGGTGTTTGCTAGGTTAGATGTATTCAATGCATTTTTGACTTATGATACATCCAACTTGCAATGGGTTTATTGGGACATAACCCCTTCATAAATCAAGGAACATCTGTATTCAGACCAAGAAAATAACAGTGTGGCTGTCTTGCTATTCCGACAGTGAGGCAGGATTCCAAGAGAGCACATGAGCCAGCATCCTTAGAAAATGCGGAATGTAAGTGCCAAAAACCCCATTTGTAGTTCTGTAACAAAATCCCCGCCTTATGCCCGGTCATGTTGAGTGGCAGCCTTGCCAAGAAGCCACATAACTGCAGCTTTGTCACTGCCTTTCTCCTGAACCCTTTCTTGAATGAAGGCGGTACAGCAGCCCCAGGTACTGATGTTCATTTTATCACTGTCCCCTTGCTCATTGGGAGATACAGTCCAGTGCCCAGGGATGCCGAGAGACATGGAGACATGACAGGGTGTAATAAACGCTGACCACGGGCCTGCTTTCCCTCCTCCCCACCTGCTGCTTCTCCATCCCTCTTCAAAACAGAGCAGGCAGCTTTATTCTTCTGAGTTCTCCCTCCTTATCCTGTTGGGATGTTGCTGGGATGGAGCTCATGGCTCAGAGCAACCTTGTGCTCTGATGATGAATTAGCAAAATATAAACTCTTCTATCAGGATCATAGTTCTGGCTAAATCACTTATGATTGCAAAGATAAGAGGGAAGAATATAAAGCAATTAAGGGCATTGAAAGGCAAAACCCAACCCCCCAGCCTGAGAGCTGCTCTGAGCTTGCCTGCTAGACAAAATGAACTCAACACTCAGGATCAGATTCCCAGCTCCTCTGGCAACTATTTCTAGGTCCCCAAACATAGTATTTCTAGAGGTAATTTGCATTCAACAGCAGAGCGAGTTTTTTAATGGCATAGCT